TTTAATACTTCCTGGATCATTTAATATTCTGCCCAGCTTCAGTGCAGTATACATTATATATTTCTTCTTTCTTAGTCTCCCTTTAACCCTGAAGGGAGTAAGTAAAACAGTCAGTCCTGTTTTACAACAGTGGCACTATCCTTGTGTGTGTGTGTGTGTTTGTGTGTGTGTGAGGAAAAAATCTGTGGTTAGAATTAGCCAGCTGGACTCAGTTTAGGTGATGCCAATTTTTTTGGCAACATCCAAAGCATCATAGTCAGGAGTAAGTTGAACACAGGCCTTCTTCTCTCCAGGCCTAATCAAACCTTAGCCACATCAGTTTCACAGTGAACACAAGTGTCTTATTATCTTCTATATTCTTCATGGTTGACTCAGTGGTCAGAGGACATTTGATGATGGCACAGTGGTATGGCTTGTTTCTCCCGGGGGTGCTCTTCCCGGGGTATTTGGGCTGCCTTCAGAATCTCAGCATCTTAAGCCGCCTGACGTGTGGATCTTTTTTTTTTTCCTGTGGGTACCCTTCAGGACTACCTTCTTGGCTTTTAATGCCTTTGCTTTGGCTTCAGTTTTGGAATGGGAGGGGCTTCCTTTTTTGCTTTCAGTGCCATCTTCATAGAAAATAAATTTGTCCTTTTGTGACTGAGATACTTAACTCAGGATCGTCCTCCAGGGTCACCCATTTTGTATATTTCATGAGTTCCTCATTTTTCAATGCAACATAGTATTCCATTGTGTGAATATACCACAGCTTCTCTATCCATTCATTTGTTTCTGGGCACTTGGTTGTTACCAGCTTTTTGCTATTGCGAACAAAGCTGCAATAAACATGGGTGTGCATATATCTGCTTGGATGGTGGTTATGGTTTTTTAAGGTTATATGCCCAGTAGTGGAATCGCTGGGTCAAATGGTATTTCTATTTCCAACTTTTTAAGAAAGCGCCATACATCCTTCCATAGTGGTTGCACCATTTTACACTCCCACCAACAGTGGATAAGGGTTCCAGTTTCTCCACAATCTCACCAGCATTTGATGTTTGCTGTTCTGTTAAATTTTGCTATTCTGACTGGGGTGAGATGATATCTCATAGTTGTTTTGATTTGCATGTCTTTTAGAGCTAGGGATTTTGAACAGTTTTTCATGTGTTTGGCCATCTGAATGTCTTCTTTGGTGAAGCTTAAATATTATTGAAAATAATTTATCCTTGTGCTTCTCTTGCCTTAGGGTTTTGAATCTACATTTTCCTTTTTTACATCAACTATTTCAATTTTAAAATTGTATTCACATGTTTATACTTTGTATTAGTTTATCTATTTCATAAAAGAGACATTTACCAGGTAAGACTTAATTTCTTCTAGTTTTCTATTTCTTTGTCGTGTTGTAATTATTTGTAAATATATTTATTTTTACAGGCTCTAGAAGATCTAGATCAGTTTGAATTGCAAACTTCAACTCATCAGAATGCCATTTCTCATGATCCGCTAACTATTAGGAGAGATTCAAATCCAGTGAACAGTATCTCTGAGCTAGAAATTCCATGTGTGTTAAGGAGATCATTAAGGTTGAAAAAACTGAATGGAGACAAAGCTGGGAATCATACAGATGATGAGTATAAGATGCTGGAAAAAATGCTCCCAGAAGTACTCAGCTGTGAGCATCGAACAGATAAATCTTTCACCAGGAATTCTAGGTATATTATTGAAGTATATCTTCTGATAATATTTAAAAGCTTATATGTAATTCTCTGCTTGGAGACAGAGGATCATTGTACCAAAACTGAAACAATTGCTGTTGAGTTGATTCTGACTCATGATGACCTGTGTGTGCAAGGTAGAATTGTACTTTATAAGATTTGTAATGTACTTTATAAACATTTTAGAATTAGATCACTAGGACTTTTATTTGAGTATTGCCTCTTGGTGGTTTAAACCACTTGGGGACTTCTTTTGTCTTGTTGTTATGTGCCATCAAGTCACTTGCGACTCATAGCAACCCTATCTATGTACAACAGCTCTCAAACCTGCCCTATCCTTAGCCAATCGTAAAGTCTCTGACAGACCTTATTACTCAGTCCCTAAGTCAATCCATCTCATCCTGGGTCTTCCTCTCCTGTGCTGTCCCTCAACCCTTCCAAGCTGATGTCTCTCTGCAAGGACTAGTCCTTCCTGGCTGCTTGCCAAACTATGTGAAATGGAGCTTTAAAATCCTTGCTTACAGAGAGCAACCTGGTTTCACCCTCTCCCCAACAGACCTGGTTGTCTATCTGGTAGTTCACTGTATGTTCACACACTCTTCTCCAGCACTGCAACTTAAAGACATTGATCCTTAGTTATTGTCCATCTCTCTGATGCATAGCAAATAATTGTGAATACCATGGCCTGAGTCTGGTGCTCCTTAGACTCCAGACTGACATAGTTGCTTTTCAGTACTCTAGGGAGGTTCTTGACAGCAGACTTTCCCAATGCAATTTGTCTTTTGATTTCCTGACTGCCGGTGCCAAGAGAGTTGATAGTGGAACTGAGCAAGCTGAATTTATCAACAATCTTAATCTCTTCTCTGTCCATCATGAAACTGCCAGTTGACCCAATGGTGAGAATATTTGTTTCCTTGATGTTGAATTTCAATCCATATTGAAGACTACTGTTCCTGACCTTCTTCAGCAAATGCTTCATGTCCTATTCAGTTTCTCCACGCAGGGTTGTGCCATCTGCATAATGCAGGTTGTTGATGAGTCTTCCTTCTATCCTGATGCAATATTCCTTCTGAAAAGGTCCAGCCTCCTGACTTATTTCTTCTGTATAAAGGTTGAAATGATATATGGAGATGCATCCCTGAAACACCTTTCCTGATCCTGAACCATGCAGTTTTTCCCTGCTCTGTTATGACTACTCCTTTCTGTTCTCAGTATAGGTTTCACATGATCACAATTAAGTGTTCTGGTGTCCTCATTCTTCTCAAAATTAGCCATAATGGGTTGTGATCCACACAGTCAAATGCCTTTGCATAGTAAGTGAAACACAGATAGACATTCTTCTGGTACTCTCTCCTTTCAGCCAAGCTCCATCTAATGTTGACTGTGAGCTCCCTAGTGCCACGGCCTCTTCTAAACCCACCCTGCACATCTGGCAGTTCTCTGCTGATGTATTGTTCCAGTCCTTACTGGATAATCTTTAGCAGGATCTTGCTTGCATGTGATATCATTGGATAATTTACACTCTGTTGGGTCACCTTTTTTTTTTTTTGAATGGGAATAAATACAAATATCTTACAATCAGTTGGCCAGGTAGTTGTCCTCTAGATTTCTTGGCATAACCTGATGAGCATGTCTAGGGAAGCATTTGTTTGCTGAAATTGGTATTCCATCAATTCCTGGGGCCTTGTTTTTTACTTTTCCTTCAGAGGAGCTTGAACTTCCTCCTTCATCACTATAGGCTCTTGATCGTATGTTGTTTCATGAAATTCTTCCGTGTTTGTCAGTTCTGTTTGGTATAGTGCCTCTGTGTACTCTTTCCATCTGCTTTTGATGCTTCCTGGGTCATTCAGCATTCTACCTTCAACATCTGTAAGTATTGCAGCTCAAGGCTTCTTTTGTTTTTCAGTTCCTTCAGCTTAAGAATTGCCAAGCAAGTTTGTCCCTTTTGATTTTCTGACTCTGTTTTCTTGCACATTTCATTTTAATACTTTGCTTTGTCTTCCCATGCTACCTTTTAAAATCTTCTATTCACCTCCTTCACTTCTTGATTTCTTCCCTTTGCTTTGGCTTCTCAGTGTAGTGCAATATTCAGAGTCTCTTCTGACATCCATCTTGGCCTATTCTTTCTCTGTCTTTTCAGTAAAATTTCGCATACTTAATGAATGACATTCTTCATATTCTCCCAGACCATTAGTGCTTAAGGCTTCAAACCTGTTTCTGAGATAGTCTTTAATTTCTAGTAGCCTAGACTTGAACTCAGACTTTAATTTTTGTAGATTTTACTTTATTTTCTTTATCTTTAGTTTGAACTTGCATATGAGTAGTTGATGATCTCTTCCACAGTCAGCACCTGGCCTGGTTTTCACAGCTGATATTGAACTTCTCTAAGGATTTTTTTTCCCTTAAATGCAGTCATTCTGATTCCTGTTTTTGTGAAGTGTTTTACTAGTTCCCTGTGATATGGCAAATCTTTTTGTATTAAAAGAGGCTGAACTTTTCCCTAGGAATTGGGATAGATAGTGACATGAAGACTTGAGAAAGGACAGGCAGGAGACTCTGAACAATCACACTTGTAGTCACTGTTTAAAAAAGAATTGGTTGATACTGAAAACTTTCAGGAAATACCATATGAACAAGAGCCATTCATTACGAAGGAAGAAGTCTAAACTACGCTGAAGACATTGAAAAACAATAAAGCCCCAGGAATTTATGGGATATCAATTTGCATGTTTAAACCTACAGATGCAGCCTTGGATATGCTCACCAGTTCATCCCAGGACATTAGTAAGACAGTTACTTGTCTGGCTGATGAAAGAGATCCATATTTGTTTCCACTCCCAAGAAAGATGATCCAGCAGAATTTATTGAACAGTATAATTATTGAATAATATCATTAATATCACTAGCTTATTGTCACTCAAAACTGAACAGTACATTGAGAGAGAACTATCAGAAGTTCAAGCTGAGTGTGGACGAGGTCAGAATTTAAGAAGAATGTCTATTAATGACTTTGCAAAGGCAGTTGACTGTATGAATCATAACAAATTGTGGCTAACATCAAGAACAATGGGAACCTTAGAATATTTAATTTTGTTCATAGGAAGCCTGTACCTACACCGTGAAGCTGTTGTGTGACTGGAGCAAAGGAACATGGTATGATCTAAAATCTAGAAAGGTGTGCATCAGGGTTGTATTCACTCTCTATACCTATTCAATCTGTATACTGAGCAAATAATTCGAGAATTTAGACTGTGTGAAGAAAATGTAGAATCAGGATTGGAGGATGACTCATCAGCAACCTATTATGCAGATGACACAATCTTGTGTGCTTACAGTGAGGAGGATTTGAAGCACTTGCTGTAGAAGATTCAGTGGTGCAGTATAGTCAGTTACTGTGCAGTACTTCTGCAAAGACACCAGCCTTCAATACAGATTAAATCTCAACATAAAAAAGACAAACGTTCTCACCACTGGACCAGTAAGCATCATCGTAAAGATGGAGAAAAGATGGAAACTGTCAACTATCTCATCTTGCTTGGATCCACAGTCAACACCCTTGATTCTGGTAGTCAGCAGATCAGGAGACATACTGCATTGGGCAAGTCTGCTGTCAGGGACCTCTCCAAATTACTGAGGAGCAATGATGTCACTTTGAACACTAAGGTGTGCCTGATTCAGGCTGTGGTCTTTTCAGTAACTTGCTGTACATCTGAAATCTGGACAGTGAATAAGGTTGCCAGAAGAAGAATTGATGCCTTTGAATTGTAGTGTTGGAGAAGAGTACTGACTATCCCATGGACTGCCATAAGAACAAAGCAATATGTCTTGGTGAAAACACCACCAGAATGTTTTTTAGAGTCAAGAATGGGGAAGTTTCATCGTATATACTTTGGGCATGTTTCTAGGAGAAGCTATTCCTTGGGACATCATGCTTGGAAAGGTGGAGGATCAGTAAAAAAGAGGAAGACACAGAGATAGCTTGACACAATGACTGCAGCAATGGGCTCAAGTGTATCAGAGATGATGAGAATGGCACAGGATAGGACAGATCTGGGTTCACAGGACAGGACAGATCTGGGTTCAGGTCTATTATTCATAGGGTTGCTATGAGTTGTACTTGATAGCACCCACAAGAACAACAGTAGAGGAAAGAAACCAACAAGTAAGAAAGAAGACTGTAAACTTAGTTTTTTACTTTATCATTGGTTATACCATGTTGTTTAAGAGGTAAAAATCTATAGGATTTTTTTTACAATTTATAATTTTTGAATAATGATGAAAACTGGAATATTTTCATAATTAATATATTCTCCCAAAGTTATTTTCAACTACATTGTCTTACTTGGAAGTATTTTAGGGAGCTGTAGGTGTGTTATGCAGATGACACAGCCTTGCTCACTGAAACTGAGGAAGACGTGAAACGTTTTCTGCAGAAGTATGAAAGACTACAGTCTTCAGTATGAATTGCATCTCAGCATCAAAAACACAAAGATTCTTACCAGTGGGCCAATTAGAAGCATCATGATAAATGGAGAAAAGATTGAGGTTGTTAATGATTTCATCTTGCTTGGATCCACAGTAAACACTCTTGGCACCTGCAGTCAGGAAATCAAAGTTGCTTTAGGATAGTGGTGTCAGGGACCTCTCTTGAGTGCTATAGGGCAACAGTATCAGTCTAGAAACTGAAGTGGGCCTGATCCAGGCCATCTCTTCTCACTTGCTTGCTGTGCATCTGAGAGCTGGACAGTGAATAAGAAGAATCAATACCTTTGAGTTGTGGTGCTGGAGAAGAGTATGGAACATACCTTGGCCTCCCAGGAGAACAAACAGGTGTGTCCTGGAGAGTAAAACTAGGTTGCTCCTTGGAGGCAAGGATTTTGAAACTCATTTACTTTGAGCATGTTGCCAGGAGGGACCAATCCTTAGAGAATGACCTCATACTTGGACAGATGGAGGGACAGTGCAGAAGGGAAAGACTGGATGAGATGGATTGGCATAGTGACTGTGGCAATGGGGGCATGTATATCAGAGATGGTTAGGGTGGCTCAGTACAGGGTAAGTTTCAAAGCTATTGCTCATAGAGTTGCTGTGAGTAGTAGTTGACTTCATAGCCCATAACAGCAACAACACATGACCTAATAGTAAGCAACTGTGCTGCCAACCAGAAGGCACACAGTTATAACCTACCAGCTACTCTTTAGAATAAAGATGGTTAGACTTGTCTTGTGTGATTTACAGCTTCTGAAAACCCACTTGAGAGTCAACTATGAGTCAGTTCCTAGGTGGCAGGATCCAATGTCAAAGAATTGTGTGCAATTACTATGGAGTTATCTCTCTGTTTAAAATTGCCATACCACATTAAAACAGATCAATGAAATTATTTTGAGTTTTAAAACATTAGTCAATATTTTATATGCTCATCGATGAATGCTTGTAAGAACATTAAAGTGATATTTAAAACTTTTCTTTTTGAAGCATGCTGGATTCTACTTTAATGACTGAAGGTGAAGAGAAGAATTCATTTAGAGGCAAGAATGATGAACAAATCAGGAAAAACAAATCTACAACAAAACATGGTGAAGCATATTTTGAATATTTCTTTATGTAAATAATTTGCAGGAACATAGAATTCTGGTTCTGAAAAGAATGAGGGGTTATTTATCTCAACTTACTGATGAGCAAAGTAAAGAAGAGGGTTTGGTTGTTTTGGGGTTTGGTGTGTTTTTGTTTTTTGGGTTTTTTTTTTTTTTTTGTAATACCATAGTTTTGTTAATAACAAAACTAGATTATTTGCCTTATCATAACTGGTTTCTTAGTAGCTGTTTTCGCTAATTTTATGGAGACTTAATTTATATATGAGCAGGTGGTGTTCAGGTGATGATGCCAAGGAAACCCTTACATAGATTTCTGGTGCCTTCATCTCCACATTTATTTTTGGTGCCTTGCACTGGAAGTGTATCTACTACTACCTCCCTTCCCTCTAGGCTCTCTCTTCACATTGGTTGAGACTACTTTCTTCTGCTTTGGTTTTCCCTCCTTGTGCTGTAGTCTGAAAGTACCTTCAGACAGAAAGCCACGGTCATCATAGGGCTTTCCTCACCCGTTTGCCTTCATCAGGAGTCACAGATCTGAAAGAATCGTTTCACAATGGCTGAAAATGAAAGTTTCCCTCCATTATATTTTGTATAGTGTTCTAGATATTTATAGTGGAAGAGAAAGGCAGAGAAGTTGCTTAGACATAGTTAAAGGTGAATGCAACTTCTGTACCCTCATTTTCACTGAAAATGTTTACATTCATTACTTTTTAGTTTTGTTATTTCTAATAAGGTACATGGTTACAATAGTGAGTATAACTAGAGCAGACAGATTTGGGAGTAAACACCACTGATAAAATTTATGTGGGGAAACAGAACACTTTAACCTGGGATGGGAGGAAGTAGGCTCAAGTGTTCAAGAGTGGATTTTTAAATTTTTATAGTTAAGATTGAATGGATTAAAAAGGGCAAAACAAGTTAAATGGTGATTCATTAAGAATGTTTTTGCTGTACTCAGTTACTTTGTGAAGTTTTAGTTTGGGGTAGGTTAGATCAGAATTGAAAAAACAGTCACCAGAAATATTTATAAATACCAAATAATCAAGTAGGTGTTGTTTGAAAAATTGGCAATTTGTGGAGTATCTAACTTAGCAGTCTCAGTATTCTTGAGGATTTAGTGAAGAATTGATACTTAGTATGAATTATCACATAGTATGAATTATCATTATCACAATAAATTGTAGCTAACTTTGAGAAGGATGGGGATCTCAGAACACTTAATTATGCTCATGTGAAACCTGTACATGAACCAGGAAGCAGTCATCAGAACAGAACAAAGAAACACTACATGGTTCAAGATCAGGAAAGGTGTATTCCAGGAAGTCATCTATCTTCACACCTTTTTTTTTTCTCCCAAACTTTCTTGTTTTAATTGAGATTTTGTTATGTTTATAAAGAACTTTTATTTCCATTCATTCATTATTGCACATTTCCCTCCCTGCCCCACCTCCTTCCCAGTTTGCTTTTTTCTTTGGGAAAAAAGTTCTTTCAATGTTCTATAGTGCTCCCCTTCCCCCAGACCACTTTATACTGTGCAGCTCTTATTCTGGACTCTTGTCATACCAATTATACCTAATCATATATTCCTTTCATACAGTTCTCTCCCTTGTCTTTTTCAATATGGTGTACATTATTTTTTTTCTTTTTTTCTTAGTTTCCCCACAACTCCATCGTCAGTCCTGTTTTGTAATAGTGGCATTGAACAATATTTGTCTTTCTGTGACTGAGATATTTCATACTCACCATAATGTCTTCCATGGTCACCCATTTTGTAAAGTGTTTAATGAGTTCTTTGTTTTTCAGTGCTGCATAATATTCCATTATGTGACTATACCACAGCTTCTCTATCCATTCATTTGTTGATGGGCTCTTCAGTTGTTTCCAACTCTTTACTATCATGAACAAAGCGACAATAAACATGGTTGTGCATATACTTTTTCAATCTGTATGCAGTACAGATCATCCAAGAGGCTGGGCTCTTTCAGGATTGGGGGAAGACTCATGAACTACCTGCATTATGCATATGACACAACTTTACTAAGGAGGATCTGAAGCATTTGTTGTAAAAGGTCATGGACTATAGTCTTCAATACGGACTGAAGCCGAATATCTACCAATTGGCAGCATCATGATAGATGGAAAACAAGATTGAGATTGTTAACAGTTTCAATTTGCTTGGTTTCATGATCAACACTCTTGGCACTAGTAGTCAGGAACTCAAAAGACAAGTTGCACTGGGAAATTTGTTGTTGGGAACCTCTCCAGAGTGCTGAAGAGCAGCTTTGTCAGTTTGGAGACTAAGGTACACCTGATCTAGGTCATGGTCTTCTCAGTTACTTGCTATGCATTAGAGAGCTGGACAGTGTCTAAGGATGACAGAAGAAGAATCAATGCCTTTGAGTTGTAGTGTTGGAGAAGAGTCTTGAACATACTGTGGACTGCCAAGACAACAAACAGGTCTGCCCTGGAGAGGGTGAAACCAAGCTACTCATTGGAGGCATGGATTTTTGAAGCTCAGTATCAAATATTTTCTCAGAAAAGATGATCCAACATAATGTGGGAATGATTGAATAATATCATTATTATCACATGCAAGCAAAATATTACTGAAGACCATCCAAGTGACTAGAACAGTACATTAATAGAGAATTTCCAGAGGTTCAAGCTGGATTTAGATGACACATAGCAGCAGTGATATCATTGCTGATATCAAATGGATCTGGCTGAAAGTAGAGAGTACCAGAAAAATGTCTGTCTGTGTTTTATTGACTATGCAAAGACATTTGACAATCTGGATCAGATATGCCAGAGCACTTAATTTTGCTTATACAAGACATATAATCTTGACCAAAAAGGTAGTGTCCAAACAGAGCCAGAGAACACTGCATGGTTTAAAATCAGGAAAGGTAAACATCAAGGTTGTATCTTTTCTCTGTACCTATTCATTCTGGACACTGAGCAAATCACTGAAGAAGCTGGACTCTATGAAGAAGAATGTGGCATGAGGATTGGAGGAAAAAATTATCAACAACCTGTGTTATGCAGATGACACAGCTTTACTTGCTGAAAGTGATGAGGACTTGAAACATTTGCAAGAAGATCAGAAAGAAAAAAATTCTTACCACCAGATAGATAAATAAGCATTATCACAGTAGGTGGAGAGAAGATTTTAATTGTCAACTATTTGATCAGGAGATGTATTATATTGAACTGACAGGGCCTTTTCCAAATTACTGAGGTATAATGATGTTAAGACTAAGGTGCACCTGACTTGGGGCCATGGTTTTTTCAGTCATTTGCTGTGCTACTTAGAGCTGGACAGTGAATAAGGATGACAGAAGAAGAACTGATGCTTTTAAAATGTGGTGTTGGAAAAGAGTACTGAATATCCCATGGACTGCCAAAATAACAAACAGATATGTCTTGGAGAAGTGCATCCAGAATAGTCCTCTGAGGCAAAGATGGTGAAACTTCATCTCACAGGCTTTAGGCGTGTTACTAGGATATACTATTCCTTGGAGAAGGACATAATGCTTGGAAATGTGGAGAGTCAGTGAAAGAGGGTAAGACTCAATGATACAGATTTATACAATGACTGCAGCAGTAGACTTATATATGGTAGAGATTATGAGAATGACACAGGATTCAGATCTTTTGTTCATAGGGTTACTGTGAGTAGTACTTACCTCGATGAAATATATATAATGAAGAAAGAAGATCTAAGATTTGAATGGTGGTGTTAGCAAAAACTATTGAATATGGACTGCGAAAAGAACAAGCAAATTGCTTTGGAGAAGTATAGCCAGTGTGTTCGTTAGAAGGAAGGATGATGAGACTTTGTCTCACATTCTTCAGGCATGTTATATGAGGGGCCAGTCCCTGGAGGAAGACCATCAAGGAGATGGATTTGCACAACTGAAACAGTGGGCTTACGTGCAGTGGAGTTTATGAGGATTGTGCAGGTTTGGCTGGGTCTTCTTTCTCTGTTACTTAGAGTCACTGTAAATTAGTGTTCAATCAACAGTACCTAATAACAATAATGAAGGAAATGCTATTTCATAGTTTAATAAGCCTCACTTCCAGAGTGCTGATTGGACTAATCCTGTTACTTCTTCCTGATTTTCAAATAAAGATTGTTTTGTTTTTGTTCATCTCTCATTACAGAAAAGAAGAAAATTGGTAATATGACTCTTTCTAGTATTAACCGGAAAAATATGTTTGGAGAAACCTTACTATATAGAGCGGCTCTGGAAAATGATGTTGGTCTTCTTAAACGTTGTATAAAAAAAGGTGGAAATGTAAATCAGCAAAGTTATGCTGGTAAGTTGAGATTAC